AACCAATTTTTATACAATTTATGAAGAAATACGTGACAAAACAACCATATTTAGTAAAAGTCATTGTACAAAAACAGAACTGGTAGCAAAGGTAAAATAAGTGGGTACTTCTTGTAAAGGTTTTGCACAGGAAGGTCAACTATGAATATGAAACTCATTTTGGAGTGCGTAATTTCTTTGTCATGATTTTTTCAACTTAAAAGTGATGTGGAAACAATTATTTTCATCATTTCCACTTAAGCCAATTTATTTTCATCATTCTTTCTACATACAACCTTGTACATACAATATTTCATAAATCCTGATATCGAAATGTAGTGCGGACTGCAGTGCAAACATTTTAAACATTGATCATTCTGATATTCAAATTTCATTAACAATAAATGTAACAACTACTTTTCTTTCAACATTTTAAAGAACAAATATGTATAGTTAGCATCAATACATATTGAAAAAGTTCTAAACAAACCATAAATAACATTGTAAAAATCACTATTCCCCAACATTCTACACAATGCCTAAATCTTGCAACACTTGATTTCTCCGCACATTGTCCACATCCAAAATCCATTCACAAACATATTGTTCCCTAACATGTTGCAGTTCCTCCTGCAAAGACAAAAATGCACAACATATCAATAAAATGCAACATTTCTATCAAAGATCCACAACATGAAAATTTTTACAACTTACAGTTGTGTAAGTGGGCATTGTGTTGCCTTCGTATTTCTCAATGTCATCCCACAACTCCATAATTTTCAAAACAATTACTCCACAATGAAATCTACAACAAACAAAGTCCAACAAAATAATAATGATATTTAACATATCAATGATACAATAAAATATTATATTTACAAAAATAAACATTACAAACTTACAAGTTTGGTTGGATTGCAAATGTTGTACCTCCAACGACGGTTTGTTGTCTTCGGAACAATTCAACAAATGTTCAAAAAGCAATGCAAGATTTTGTGCCTGCAAAACAACATAGTCTCCTTAACTATCCAAACTACTAAAAAAATTTATAATTACAAAGTAAACATCAATTACTACACATACAATGACATTGTCAATCTTTTTTCGTTCTTTTCTTTTGTGCCCAAAAGAGTCTAGTGCAAACATTTGCAGTGATGGAATCTTCACAACGTAGCACCATCAATGGTCGTCATGGATAATTGGGACAAACAACTACAAAAAAAAAAATTTTGTCAACAAATGTACAAATAACCATCAACATAGTCTGAAAGTACATCGTATGAAATCTAATTGCACTAACAAATTTGACATTAACAATGTCATCAAATCGAATGATATCGGACTGGAAGTAGTTAGAGTAGTCATTCAATGTCCAAACTTTGCAATTAGTCTTTTTCTTTCTTGAGTCAATTAAAACATAGGTCTGCAAGGAAATCACATAGTTAGCTTTCATTTCTCATGTGAATACAATATTCACAACATAAAATGACTATTATTTTAACCAACCGTATATAATGGACTAAAACATATCATTTTCACTACTCCAGTACTCCTTCTTTCAAAGAACATGAACACGGATGTGGCAAACAAAATCCCCTACAAAACCAACAACTTCTTAATACTACATAATTCAACCAACATATAAACTACAACAACAATAACCACACCAAATTTCATTATTACCATGTTGCCAAGCTGCATCCTAGGTCCAAAAGAATAACACTCCTGGGTGCAAAATGTTTGACCGAAAAATTCATAAACAACCCTTCAAACAAAAAAATCACATATGTCATCATGTCTCATCATCACACTATTCAAAAAAAAAAATTCAACAATTAAAAATTATAAAATAAATTACCTCCAAGGAAGCTTAAATGGAATAACCAAGTTGTACAAGTATTTTGGATTTACATTCAAAAAATGACCATCCTCATTCTGGTGTTGTCGTGCCAAGATGCCTACAAGAGGTGCAACATCCAAAACGTCCTCCTTCTCTTCCTCCAAACAACCACCCACATCAGTATACCTGACTGTTTCAAAACATTGGGCTTCCTAATCTGCTCCACCATGAACATGACCATCATCTACTTTACCATCATCTCCTTCACCATCATCAGGTTCACCATCATCAGCTTCATCATCAACATCAACACCACATGTACCACCCTCTTCAAAAAAATAAGGTTGTTGTCTTTCTTTCTTGCCATAACCTACCATGACAGCCAAAGTTCTTAACTCTTTATTCATTTCAACCATTTTTCTTTGGTTGTCTTCAATTTCTTCATCATCACTTCTTCTCAAGTCATCCCAAACTCATGTACATCATCTTCTGGTATTGGCCCTTCATCCAAATAAAGGGTCGCACAGATGATTGGGTTACCACGGTCCTCCTTCCGCAAAAACCACTCCCAACATATTTATAAACATCCAAATAAGTAATCATTCAAAAACACAAAACACATGTCATGGCTTACATATCAAATAAATGTACAAAAAAATAACAACTAACTTACATCTTTCTTCTTAAACAAGTCTTCTATTTTTTTTGACCTCAACTTAAGCAAAGACCAATTTATTATTCTCGGAAACACAATGTGATGTTGATCGCCCGCTAAACCCAAACGTTCAATGACCCAAAGCTAAACAAACATAAATTAACCAAAACGATATATCATTAAAATTGTATACATTAATTTAATATTGTTTATGTAAACTTTAATTTATAATTATATTAATTTAGTTAAAACATAATTTATTAAAAATATCATAGTTTTAAAAAAAATTAAAAGATAATATATTTTTATTATAACTAAATAATAATTATATTAATTTAAATAAAATATTATATTAAATTAATTAATATGTAAAATTGTAAAATAAGTGTAATATTTATATTATTTATCTAAGTGTAAAATTTATCATTAAAGTAATTGAAAAGTAGTCAGATTGCCGTAACCACCTAGGTTTCCACTTCCAAACCTTACGGAACTAAATGTGATCAAGCTTCTCAGCAAGCGACACGTGTTTTACAGTGATGTGACCTATTGTTGTATGTATGCACAAAGTTTATAGTTTTGATCCGAAATATCTTTGACCAACTTTCCTTTTTTATAATTCAAGAAACTATAGTTATAAGCAGCCATGTTTTGTCAAATTGATACTGCGATGATCTAGAAGTGGTCAAAATTCCTTTATTCTATATTAACATAATGTTTATGAGAATCATGTGCATTCCGATCATGTTGAATCAAAACTGGTTTCGAATTAAAATTAATATGGATAAAATTTTATACACTTTTTAGAGTAAATTTACTTTTACATATAAAATATTTAAATATAAATTATTTTACTTCATTGCAAATATAATTTAGTTTCAAATAAATTTCAGAAACACTTCTTCTTTTACTTTCCAATTATAAAGTATTTCAATATTTTCAATTATACAATCATCCTTTATATAATATATTATATTATATGTATTATTTAAACTCATCTTGATATTAATAAGAAGTACTCGAATTCACATGTGTAATTAATACTCAACATTTTAGATTAAATATAAGGGTAAGAAAAATGATGTACATAATCTATCTTACCTACACATTCTCATTTTAAATAAGTGAAATAACTATTATATATTTAGTACTTTAGTTTTTAAATTTATAAAATTATAATTTCTTTATTAATATTTAACATTAAAATTTTATAAAATTTTGATATCTAATTTTGAATAATATTATGTATAATTTTTCTAAAAAATATTTAATAAATATTTATAAGAAAGACACTCATTATTTAATAAGAGAAGAAAAGAACACAAATAGCATAAACATCAAGTATTGGAGATATACATGATTCTTTTACTTTTAGAATAAAAATGAGAACAATTATAGTCAAACTCAAACATAACTCACTCGTTGTTGTCACTAATCTAATATGTAAACTTTGTTTTTAAATTAATTAGTTAATAAATGTTAAAAATCATTAAATCGAAATTATTTTAACCGTAAAATTCAACACAAAGTAAAAATAGTTGATTTGATTTAAATTACATAATTAAATTCAACCTAATCAATATTTTCTTTTAAAATTTGATAATTTTTTATCATAGACTCAAACATTTAAAATAAAATAATTAATGATATTAATAACTATCACTACTATCACTATTATTTTATAATAATAATAATAATAACAATAATAATTATAATAAAGTTGAAATATTCTAAAAAAATTACGAGTTCAATATTTTCATATTATATTATTTAATAAATTAATTATAATGTTATTGAAATTGTATTTCTTTATCTAATTCCAATTTTATTATAATAATATTATTTGTCATTACTATTATTATGAAATGAATCAATATTATTAATAATAACATTTTGTAATAAGTATAATAAACATATATAATTAATTTTTAAAATAATATGTCTAAACTTTTTAGAATATTAAGAAAAATAAAATTATAGAAAACACATAATAAAAAGGAGACAAAAGTTGTTTCATTATATTAATAACTTGGCTTAATTGATTATTTGTCCCCAAATTTAGCCTTTAGTGTTTTTTAGTATTTACTTTTAAAAAATATTTATATTACTTATAAATGTGTTATAATTGTATAATTATATCAATCAAATCCTATCAATCAAGTTGGTATGTGGCAAATCATTGAGCCAACGTAATAAAAGCAAATTTAAAAAAATTATTTATCACGTTAATTTAATGATTTGACACATCATCGATCATTTCACTCCGCTGTTACTAAATGAATAGAATTTAATTAATCATATTAAAATGCAAGCATTTTTTAAATCATATGCTAACTAAATACTAAATAGGGGAAAGTGGAGACCAAGTAAATAATTAAGTGTAATGATTTCTACAAGATAGGAGAAACCATAGATAAGAAGAGGTAAAAAGAAATTTAACAACTATCCCAATAATTGCTGTTCCAAAAAAAATAAACTATCCCAATAATTTTCTTGGGTATAAGAATACAATTTAGACCATCTTTCTTTCTTTGGTATCAAGGAAGTGGTCAATTCTCTCCATGACTTTCCGAGGTGTTGAGGTTGGATATACAAAGAAGGTTTCATTGTAAGAGCATAACAACTCAGACACAACTCCTTCAAAATTTTCTTTCTCTCTTCCTACAAGTAAACTCTCACTCACACAAACAGTATCATTGAATTGATCTGTACCTGCTACTGTTTCACCTCTTGATGGCTCCTTCAGACTCTGAAACTTTGGGGCACCATTCTCAGATTCCGACCTTTCTCTATTCCTGTCCCTCTCCGCCGCAGAAGAAGATGGAAGCTTCAAGCTTCGCGGTTCCTTCTCCCAGTGAGAAACGCAGCATAGAGATGTTTTCGCCGGCGTTCTACAGTGCTTGCACCATCGGAGGAATTCTCAGCTGTGGCCTCACGCACACCGCCGTCACGCCTCTTGACGTTGTCAAATGCAACATACAGGTCTCCTCAAGTTCTCTCCTTATGCACTTTTTTCCCTGCCACGCCATTGCATTTCAAATTTTAAGCTCTCATGACATAATTTATATTCTTAAAAAATAAATTTACTTAAAGCATTTTATTATTTTGAATGTAATTATATGTTACATTCTGATTAAATCCATACAAGGGAGCCCAGAACCACGTCAGTCACACAGCCTTCGATTTTGGATTGTTTACTGTTATTTTCATGGTCCTTTTTGACTTATAATTATGAAAATGTCATAACAATGTTTTTGTGTTTGTATTTTATATGGAATGGAATCCCTTAAAATAAAGTGATATATTCTGTAATTAGAAATAAGAATAAAAACAAAACAAAAAATGAAATTTGAGAAAGTATTTTTTATTTTAATTAAAAAATGCCACTTTCTAAATATTTGTGTAAAAATGAAATAAGTTTAAAACTAGCTAGTTTCGACAGCAAGAAATAAGAGTTTGTAGTCAAAAGTGAGAGCAGAAAAAAAAAAAGAAACAAAACTAGCTAGTTTTTATGTGTCTACAATTCTATTGCGTCTTTAATTCTAGCTATATATAAGTTTCGGCAACCACGATTACAGCCACAGTTTTTGTATGACCAATTAGTCTTTCGAACATTGCATTCGTATTTATTTTTAAAAGGAAATGATGGTAAGCTTTGACGTGATTTGGTGCTTTTGGTTTCTGTTAACATTAAGTTAGTTATCATTTTCAGATTGACCCTGTCAAGTACAAGAACACCAGCACAGGATTTGGAGTCATGTTTAAGGAGCAAGGACTGAGGGGGTTTTACCGCGGATGGGCACCTACCCTTGTTGGTTACAGCGCACAGGGTGCCTTCAAATATGGATTGTATGAGTACTTCAAGAAGTACTATTCTGACATAGCTGGTCCAGAGTATGCAACGAAGTACAAGACATTGATTTACCTAGCCGGTTCAGCATCTTCTGAGTTGATTGCTGATGTTGCTCTTTGCCCATTTGAGGCTGTGAAGGTCAGAGTTCAAACTCAGCCTGGCTTTGCTAGAGGCCTAGCTGATGGACTCCCAAAGTTAGTCAGAACTGAAGGTGTCTCAGGGTATGCTTATGATGTTATAATTGTTGTTAACTTAAATCTTCCCATTGTTTTGGTAAGAAGGTTGACTGAAGCTGTGGTTCTGGATTCCTTGCAATTACTTTTCCATGCATTCTGTTAGGAGGTTGAAAGTATACGAGAGACGTAAGAAACGTGAATAGGCTAACTGCCTTGGCAGTTAGGAAGAGCGGGAAATAACTTCATATAA